CCCTTCCCCCTGCTCCCGGCTCCCGCCGGCCCGGAAATGCGGCTGCGGCCGGCAACCCAGCTGGCCAGCCCCGCGGCCTGGGTCTAGTCGTCCCCTCCTTGGCCTCCTGCGGTCTTTGAGGGGGCGACGATCTGAGGTACCTGACCTGGCATGGGGTTAGGAGCGGGATGGTGTCTGGATGCACACTCCAGGAAAATAATAGTCATAATTATCTGCCTTTACCCAGCACTGGTGCCCCACTCCCTTAATCCTCACAGCAATCCTGGGAGGCAGCTTCCGCTATTGTTCCCATTTTACTGGGTAACTGAGGTTCACAGACGTCTAGCAGCTCTCCAAAGTGTAACCGCCTGGCAAGAGGCAAAGTTGCGATTCTCACTTTGGTCTGATTTCACCGTCTTTGCTATAGCACCGGGGACCAACTCTTGAATGGGAAGAGCTAAAGGTGACCATCCGTGTTAGACCCCAGGGAGCCAGAGCCTCAGAACAAGCCAGTTCCTACTGTTGTGCATCACCTCTTCCAGGCAGCCTCCTCTGATACCCTGCCCCTCCAGGCAGGGTTAGGGCTTGCTGTGGGCTTCCCCCTTTTCCTTTCTCTCCTCCGAACTCGGTTGAAAACGTGTTTAAACATGTGTCTGCCATACTAGACTTGCCGTGTTTCCTGCAGTAGCCCTAGTACCCAGCCTGGCCTAGAGTAGTCAATAAACCTTTGTGAAATATGTGATTCATTAAATGAATAAGGTAGTAGGGCTGGAGAGGGTTGAGGAACTCAGAGAGCTTCTGGAGTGGGAGACTTGGGAATGGAAGGTTGGAACAGCTGAGGTAGCAGAGGGGCCTGCCATGCCCACCCTCTAAAGCCAGGCAAGGAGGCCCACAGGGGCAAATCGAGTCCCTTGCTACGTGTCTGGGGCTCTTAATGGCCTCAGGAGAATGGAACCATTGTCTGTGGCCCGGAAGGGGCAGAGGGCCTTGCAAGGGACATTCCTGAAGAGAGTGGAGGTCAGGTTGCCACAGGGTGTGGCATCACTCTGGGTCTGGAATGTGGTGGAACCAGTGGGTCAGGATGGTTAGGGCCTCAGACTCTGGCCCTCAGCTGGCCTCTTGGGTGGCCTCTTCTGCCTCAAGCTGCCATCTTTGCAGTCTTCTAGGCTCTAACCACTCCACCCCCAAACCCCGCCAAGCACAAAGACATGACTGAAAAGAGCATATTTATTGGGGAAGAGAAACAGAGGAGGGGGTGACGGGTGAGGAACTCTGGGTTAGTAGGATGGGGCAGGTGGTCCATGGTTGTCCAGGTAGCGCCTCAGGGCTGTTGGGTAATCAGTTATGACGCCAGTGGCCCCCAGGTCGAAGGCTGCTTTAAAATCTGATTCTTCATTAAGGCACCAAAATATCACCTGAGTGGGGAGGGACAGGCTTGCAGTTCCCCAACAACTTTACTTGGCACTTCCCCTTGTACCCAGATGTGGGGTGCTCTCCTCTGTGGAGACCTCCCAGCAGTACTGTACTGGAGCTGGTTGTTACATTTTCAGGAATTTTGCAAACTGGTTATTAAATGCAGCCATTATTAAATATTATAGAAACTTACAATTCAGTAATAAATATTCAAAACTCATCACTTCCTCGTTATTTTATGACATTTTACCATTACCTATGTTCTGGAGATTATCTACAGCTATTGAATGTATAAGATGGAAATACTATATAATGGTGTGCTACCATGCATCTCATCCCAACTCTGTTGAGTGACTTCATGTTGGTAGCCTGAAATTGGCCAAGGTGGGAGTAAATACAGCAGAGAAATTATCTCATGCTCAAATCAGGTGTTCCAACCCCCTCCCCGGGGAAAGCTGGTTGTGGAACATTTACCAGCCCGCCAGTGCCTCCCAGCCTGCCCATATCTGCTGCTGCTCTGCCTCTTTCCTGCCTCCTGAGTCTTCTCCTGTGGGCACTGAAGTAGGTGGAGATGGTATTTGAACCCTGGGCAAGTCACTGGACCTCTCAGTTTCTTACTCTGGCAAATGAGAGTGATGGTCCAACCTCCCAGAGCTGTGGTGAAGACCCATGGAGCAGGAGGGCTGATCTGAAAGAGCTGTGTCATCCCTATGTCTCACTCCCCCCAACAGCCAATCAGTGGCTGAGTCCTGGCCTGTCTCTGACTTAACTCTTCATCCATCCCCACTGCTGCCACCTCAGCCCCAGTCCTGTCAGTGTCCACATTAGCCTCCTAGTGAGACTCTGCTACCCACGATCACTTCTCCATGTGATGGCAAGAGTGACCCTCACTCAATAAGCCTCAATTGGATCAGGTCTCTCCCCTGCTTAAGCCTCTGAGAAGCTCCCCTTCCCTTTGGGCTGAAGTCCAGGCTCCTTACTGAGGTTCACAGGCTGCCTGCCGCTGCCTCTGCTGCCTTCTCCAGCTCCCGTTGTACCACTTCCTCTAGACAGCAGCCTGGAGGGACCCCTCTTGGTTCCTCTGCTGGCCTCTTGCTCCTCCCACCCTTCCCCTGTGCTGAGCCTCCTGCCTGACATGCCCTCCCTTTCCCTTCCCTGCGAGTGGGCTTCTCATTTCTTCCAGAAGGCCTTCACTGACCCCACAGACCGCAGCACTCTGTTTCCTTTCTGTCTGCTGGCTGCCTCTGCGATGCCTGCTTCCTTTCCTCCTCTGCCCTTGATGACAGGCTCCCTGCTCCTTCCCTGGGAGCACAGTGCCTGGAACTGTGTTCTCAACACTTAGTTCTCAACAAAGGTCTGCTAATTAAACAGAGCTGATGCTCAGGGGAGAGGGAGGGGATGGTCTGGGCTGGTCTTTTCCTTCTCTGGTCTCTTCCCAACCCCCGTCATCAGGAATCAGGAGGGTTTGATACATCATCATCATCATCATCATCAGCCTTGATCAAGCCTTGACTAAGTACCAGTTGCATATCCAGAAGAGTTAAATATACCATTACCCCATTTGACAGACAAGGAAACTGAGACTCAGAAGGTGACCTGCTCAAGTGACCCAGCCAGTCAGTAGCAGAGCTGTGCTGGGCTCCCCCTAGGAACAACCCACTTGCTCACCTGTACCCCTCGCTGCTCCAGGTGTTGGATCAGACTTTTCCTCATGATGAGCCTGGTGGGGGTGGGGAGGCAAAGGCAGTGATGCGATGGGACTAAGGAGGAGGGAAGGGACACTCCACCCCGCCTTCTTGCCCACCTCACCATTTGGAAACCACAGCTGCCAGCTGATTCAGCCCAGAACAGGGAAATGGGAAGTAGGTCCTGCGGAGAGGAGGTGTCATGATCAGCCCTTTGGGTCCCTCTCTGTCACAGGGGTGGGGTGGGGTAGGAATGACCCCCTAGACCAGTGTAACTCCACCCCCTCTAGATGAACACTTGCGGTTGCCCAGAGGAACAATTCACCCACTGTTCAGTGAACTTCTGCTCCCATATCCTTGACTCCATGCTTTGAGGGTGCCCTCCTCACCATTTTACCTAGGAAGAAACAGCCTTGGAGAACTAGAGTGACTTGCCCGAGGTCACACAGCAAGTCCATGGTGGGGCCAGGGCCTGGACCAGAATGCAGCTTGACTCCTAAGCTGGATGCACAATCTGGAGGTTCTCCTGGTTGGGCCTGATCAGCCTCCTGAGACCAGACAGACTTAGTGGGTCGGCCAACTGTCCCACTCTAGGGGTGACTTTGGAGGCTTTTACAGTGTCCTAGGGCAGGCTCTGCTATGTGACCTTGGGCAAATTACAGAAACTCTCTGAGCTTCAGCTTCTCCATGGGTACTATGGTAGGGAGTCATGATTCCTGTATCTCCTGCAGGTGCTGCAAGGTAAAGCTCAAAAAAACCGAGGATGTGAAAACATTTTGCAAGCCCTGTATAAAAAGTTATGTACCCTAAGTTCTGTAGTATAATGATCTCTTTGTAGCAAGTGATGGTTGGGGTTGGTGGGGAGCTTCCCTCAGGACAACAGAGGGGAGCAGAGAGCACTGGGGCTGCCACTGAGAAGGTCTCAGAAGGCAAAGGGAGGGCCCTGGCCTGAGAGCTGACGAAGTATCCAAATTCCTGATACTCTGCCTAGCTGTTACTTTGTTAATTCTTGTCTCCCAGCAGGAAAATCCTCGCTTTTCTGCTTGAGAATCAGAGAGTTATGCTATAATTAATCAATATCTGTCTCCCCACCCAGACTGTAAGCTCAGGGAAGTCCTTACCCTACCCACACTGGTCTTAATTACAAGTAAGTGCACCTAAAACAGAGTTTCAATAAATATTTGTTGGAGGACTGGATGAACAAATAAACTTTTTGTCCTAAAACTCCAACTGCATCAACACGCATTTGCATGGACTTTCAGGGGGTTCATGGCCCCCTTAGTACTCATGAATGCTAGGTGAGAACCGCTGTCTTCAAAGGACCCTGCGGGTTATCCTCAAGGGAAGCCAGGGAGCTGGAGACACTGGCTCTCCTGCTCTAGACCAGACCCTGCACAATGGAGTTTGGAGGGGGGGTGTTTTTCTGAGGTAAGAAAAGGAAGAGGATGAGGGAGGAAGGCGGGGACCCTGTGGGTACCTGTTGATGATGGTGGGCAGGAAGCAGATGAGGAACTTCTCGGGGATGGAGATGAAGGGCAGCAGCCCCAGGTAATAGAGCAGCAGCACCCAGAGTCCTCGGCTTAATGTGAGGGAGGTGGGCATCTCAGGGTTCTGGGAGGCAAGGGGAAGTGAGAAGGGGGATCAGTCTGCTCCTGGGGGAGCACAGAGGAGGCTTGGGCTGCAGGGGACACAGTTTTGAACATTCAGGAAACCCTACCACCTGCAGGATCAAAGCTACATCTTAGCCCAGGGGTTCCAGGCCAAGAGCGCCCTCCCTGTCCCTCTGGCCTGCCTTAGCTCATACATGTTCTGAGCCAGGCCCGTCTCCAAATCTCACTCTTGGAGACCCTGCTCAGGGCTCCTCCAGAAGCTCTAGACCCCTCTGGCCTAGGTCCCTCCTCCTGGGAGGAAGGGCCGCTGAAGCCGGGAGGGAAAAAGGGACTCACAGCAGCCTTGCACTTCTTCATAATTGAGCTCTTCCCTGAGGCCCAGATGGTGATTTCATTGCGGTCAAAGTTCCTCACCAGGTCTGCTGTCTGGGAGAGGGAAGAGATGAGGGGGACAGGGGGAGTCAGGCCTCTGTCCAACCCTGGGCCCTCCTCACCTACCCCTGCCTGCAGCACCACCTTGTAAATGAGCTCTTCATTTTCCTCTTTGATTTCCACGCTAATGGGCGTCCTCGGAAACCTCCGGAACACGTCCTCCAGACGCACCATGTGCCGGTCTGACCCATGTGTGAAGTGGCCTGGGGAGTTGTGGGAAGAGGGATCAGAGAAGGATTGGTGGAATTGGGGTAAGAAGCCAGGGGGAGGGGGTGGGTCCCAGAGGAGAAGAGAGGGCAGGAGGTTGAGGTCCCTCGGGCTGGCTCAGCCCAGGGCTCACAGTCCGTGCTCTCACCTGGTGAGAAGTAAACCTCCAGCTCTTCCTTGAGGAGGGGCAGCTCCTGGGGAGAGCACGGGCATGTCACCAGGGGGCACGTGTGGATGCATGGAGCCTCTCTGGATACAGTGAGGGGCTGGGGCAGGGCCCACCTCAAAGTCCAGGCTGCCAATATCCCTGTTCACGCCAGACTGGCGGGACAGGTTCTTGTCGTGTGACACTACCACGACGCCATCCCGAGTCAGCTGGCAGTCAAGCTCCAGGAGGTCAGCTCTCTGGGTCATGGAGCTATGGGAGTGAAGATCAGTGAGGGGATGGGGGACAGATAGGGATGGGCCGGACGGCAGGATGGTGGGGCATTTCAGGGGAACGTGGGGCAGTTCAGGCCGGATGTGCAGGCTGTGCACCGCACACCTCCCGGGGGCTCCGGTCACCCAGACCAGAAGGTAAATGGCACCCTTTAGTGTCATGCCGCACACAGCTGGCACAACCTTACCCGGCAACTTGGCCGGGCAGGTGGACTCACTTCTCCATGGCCTCCATGGTGTTCTCCAGGCGCTCTCCAGATCCTGTGTAGGGCAGCTAGGGTGGGTTCCTGGGGCCTGGCCTCCCTCCTTCCCTCCACGGCCCCCTGCCTCCTCACCCCGTTGGACCAGGTTGAACGGCCTCTTCCTTGTTCCACATCCTGCTCTGCCATCATCCGGCTCTCTGTCTACCTTGATCTCTGCTCTCCTTTTAACATCTCGCCCTTTGGACCTACTGTTTCTGCTGTGCACTCTGGCACCTGTCTCACTATCCTCACTCCACCTTCAGTAGCCACCCCACCTCCTACCCTGGCCCAGCTCACCTCCCCGGTGGGCCCCCAGGCGGGGACAGAAGGCTCGAAACCACGGGGTGTGCAGCAGGCGAGGCCGGCGTAGGAAGAAGATGGAGAGCATGACATAGCTGCCCAGGGTGGGCAGGGCATAGTATAGCAGAGGGCTCATGGCCGTGCTGCCTTTCCACGCTCCGGCTGCCGTGAGCTCAGCCGCTCCCGATGGACTGCTGCCTCGCAGACTGCCTGGCTGATGTAGGCTGGCTCCACCACCGGCCCGCACCACACCCCTTGGGACCTGCTGAGCCTGCTGCTGGCCTGGGGCCAGACTGCAGGGCTCAGCTGGGGATGGGGTAGAGGCAGGAGTAGGGCCAGGCAGGTCTGGCCCTCGTATCCCCAGGCCCTTCACACACCCCAGAATCCCTCTGTGGCCACACCGGCGGAGGGGTGGTAGGCAAGTCCCCCTACCCCCACCCCACCAGGTGTGCGACAACTTTCCCCCTTCCCGCTGGTTCATGTGGCCAGGGTATGTAATGTATCATTCCTGGCCATTTTCAAAGAATCCGGGGGTGTGTAGGGTGTCCCTGAGTCATTCCAGAATCACCCCCAGCCAGTTAGACAGGAAGCCATCAGAGAGGGGAAAGGACAGTGACTAAGGGGGAAACTGATCCCATTTTGTCCAGGAGTCTGGAACTCCTTACATTTCCATTCTCAACCCTGGCCAGCTGGGGAGCCAAAGGCCACCACACCAGGTAAAGCCACAGGTAGGAAGCGGCTGGGCTGGAGAGTCAGTCCTCAAAGCAGCAAGGGTTAGGGTCAGGGCATCGGCGAATACAGACAGAGCCAGGGCCATCCATATACACATCTCTATATTTATATATTAGATACAGGCACAGGGGGTGGGAGGGGCACTGGGCTCTGCATGTGCCCCACCTCCACTTCTGTTCACCCACACACAGAAGCAGCGGGACGTTAGATGTGGCAGCTTTGTTGGGGGAGGGAGTTTAGGCCTGGGCCCTGCTCCTCAGGGATACTAGCCCTTGAGCCTTAGGAATGTTCCTTCAGGGAAAATGGGGTGGGGTTTTAATGAAGTGAGTGAGGCAGGGCTGGCCCTGAGTCCCTACTCAGTGTCCTCCGTGTCTCCCCCTCCTCCACCACCTGACCCCTCAGTAGATCCCGGAGCAGCCAGAGCCCTTGGATTCCAGAACTACCAGAGACTGGGATAGCCAGGGCAGGTGGAGGCAGAGCAGCAGAGGGGAATTTGCTTTGGGGCCACCTGAGCCCCTCAGGTCCTGGGAGGGGTGGGGGAGGGCGAGTGCGTTGGCCTGCCTGAAGCAGAACTCCTGAGCAAAGCGGAGGGAGGTGGCCAGGCCCGCCCTTGGCCCTGACCTGGGCTGTCGGGGGCTGGGCTGGGCACAGTGTCCATTTTCTAACAGTCCGGCAGGGGAGGGGCAGGCAGAAGGCAGGACCTAAACAAAAAGGCAGGCAGGAAAGGAACCATTAGCACACATCCCTCCCCACAAGCAGACCTGCCAGAGCCCCGACCCCAACATCTTTCCTTTCATCCATACAGCTGGGTCTTGGTTTCCTTATTTGTGAATGGGGATAACATTAGTGCCTATTTCAAGATACTGCCATAAATGAGTTAATATATGTAAAACTCTTAGAACAATGCCTGGTGCTAGGTAGGAGTTTGCTCTCAATATCAGGACTGTCTCCAGGAAACCAAGATGCAGAAAGGTGAGGTGTCTTGCACAATATCACACAGCCCTTACTAAGTGTCAGAGCTGGGCTTTGAACCCAGGTGTGTTTGCCTTCCTGCTAATCAGGCTGCAACTGGCCAAAGACAGAAAGGCAACCAGAGGAGGGACGGAGAGCGCGTGGGTGGGGGTAGGCCCAGCAGTGTCCCCCAGAGGTATATGGACTGCTGATCTGGACACCAGGTGTGGAGAAGCCTGGCATGTGGGTCAGGCTGGGTGCTGCCAGCTCCTCCCAAAGCAGTTACTGCCCTACTTGCCACTCTGCCCAGACTAGGGAAGCCAACTCCTGGCTCTGTTCCTCAGATGGGCGAGAGGGGCCCTCAGTGACCTCTGAGGGCCTGGAATGGCTACTGGGGCTGGAGTTTGAAGGGTATTGACAGGTAGGGCTGGGGGGACCACAGGTCTGTGGCAGGCTCTGGTCCTTTTGTTGCCACCATTCACGTAGATCATGGACGTGAGCAAGCTTGTGACTACATGGGGGCATGGTGGGCAGCCTGGTCTTAGGGTGAATCTGTGCGTGGGTTCGGGGGGGATACTCACCAGGCCCCAGGGAGCAGAGGCATCTGTCCAGGTTAGGGGCCCTCCAGCACCCCAGGCTGGAAGCGGGCTGTCTCCTGGAAGATGAGCTCCTTCAGCCGCTCCTTGGGTAGATCATCCAGCTCCATGTCGAAGGTGAAAGGTTCCTCGGCCACTGGCTAGGAGGGACAGAGAAGTGGGGAGGTTCACAACAGGAATTCAGGGATGCCCACCCATCGACCTACCTGCCAGCCCTGCTGGTGGTGGCCCCACCTCATCTGTTGGGTCGTAGTACTGCTCCAGGTAGGGGTGAGCCAGAGCTTCTTCCACTGTGATCCGTTTGTTGGGGTTAAAGGTCAACATGCGGTCCAGCAGGTCAAGAGCTAGGGAAAGACAGGTGTCAGACGTCAAAGGGAAGGGCCGAGGAGCTTCCAGAAGCACTGCTTTGCTTCTCTGTGCCCAGGGGCCTACCTACTCAGGCAGCCAGCTGCTGGGCTCAGGTACCCTCCTCTGCACCCAGTTTTTATCCCACACCAGCCCCAAGTCTCTCTCACCTTTGGGGTCCGACTTGGGGAAAAGCTTGGTCCAGGCCACCTTGGTCTTGGTGGGCAGAGACTGTAGGTAGTTTCGGGCCTTCATGTTGATGATACAATTCAGGTCCTCCTGGGATGGGGAGCCCAGGATACCTGTGTGTAAGGCAGGTGACTTGGTGAGCAATCTCTCCCTTCTGGGAATAGAAGGAGCCAAGAACCAATAGAAGGAGCCAAAACGGGTCTGGATTTGGGCAGCCCTAGGTTCAAATTCTGGCTCAAATACTTCCTAAGTGTTGGGTGTATGTAGCTTTGCTTTTCCCATCTATTGAATGGGGACAGTATCTACACCTTAGTGAAATACTCTGAATCTCCATAGGGGCTCCATGCATGATGGAAACCTAAAGATATCTCACCTCCAATAAGGGCATCTCCCTCCCATTGAGCTAGTCAGCCCCCCTCACCCAGAATGTGGTTCAGCTGGTCCAGGTAGTGCTTGCCAGGGAAGATGGGCCGGTTGGAGAGCATCTCAGCCAGAATGCAGCCCACAGACCAGATATCGATGGACTTGGTGTAGCCCTGGAGAGGAAGAGAAAGTGGTGGCCAGCCTCAACAGGGCTCTGTTGTTTGGGCCAAGCCACCCCCCACCCCCAACCAAGGTTCAACACCAGTCAGAGAGGCAAAGGGCAGAAGCCCAGCAGAGGTAATTCTCAGTTTCTTTCTAGAGCCCGAGGACCAGAACTATGTGACAAGGCCCAGTGGGTAGGTAGACTTCCTGCATCATAGGGGTCATTTCCTGGCTCAGAGGTGGCTCCGGGGCTTTCTGGGACCCAACCCCTTCTCTTGAGGGGTGGATGGCCCCCCCTACCTTGGAGTTAAGCATGATCTCTGGGGCCCGGTACCAGCGTGTGGCCACGTATTCCGTCAGGAAGCCAGTGTGGTCGTGCTCAGGATCAGCGATCCGGGCAAGGCCAAAATCACAGATCTGGAATGCAACCCAGGCTGCTAAACTTGGGGCATGAGGCCTCCAGGGCCCAAGCATTCATACAGTCATGCCTCTCCCTGTGCTGTTCCCTTCGCTTGTGATACTCTCCTACCCATGGGGGCTACTGGTCACTTGGAAGCCAGAGACCCCAGGGGGTGGGGGAGGGAGACAGGCACTCAACCCTCTGACCTTAAGGTCGCAGGTGGTGTTGATGAGCAGGTTGGAGGGCTTTAAGTCCCGGTGGAGCACGTTGGCTGAATGGATATACTTGAGGCCTCGCAGGATCTGGTAGAGGAAGTAGCAGACGTGGTCATTGCTCAGCTGCTGGCTTTTGAGCAACTTGTACAGGTCTGTCTCCATCAGGTCCTGCACAATGTAGCTGAGGTTGGTACCAGAGACCCCCGGGTAGGGGTAGCAGGAGGCACTTGGTTAAGAAGAACAGATTCTGGTGACTTCACATCCCTCCAGCCAATGCCTCTGGGGACTCAACAGACCTGCCAACCTGCCAACCCATATCATGAGCTGGGCAAAGCCCATACTTAGTGGTTGGGCTCAAGGCCTCTGCCGTATCTCAGCTGGTAACTCTGAGTAAAGCATTTTGGTTCTGTGACCTCAGTTTCCCTACTGGAAAAATGGGGCTAATAAGTGGTGGAAGGCAGGAGAAAGTTACAGTTAAGAATGCTGCCTCTGGAGTTCACCCACCAGTGTCTGAGTCACTACTCCACCACTCATTGGCTTTATGTCCTCAACCTGTCTGCCCCTCTATTTCCTCATCTGCAAAGTAGGGCAAAAAAAATTGTTCTTTAGAGAGGGGTTGTGAAGATTAGCTGAGATGACCCATGTAGAGCTGCCAGCCCAATGCCTGGCACGTTGTAAGTACTCAGCAAACATGAACTAGTATTGCTGTTATAAAAGCTGGAGCCACACAGCAGTTGAGAAGGTTAAATGAGATAATGTATGAACACCATCTGGCATGTAATAAATGTTTGCTCAAAAATAAATGCTTGCCTTATGGGAATGGTTTGTGCAAGACAAATGAGGAGAAACTCCCAACTGCATTCTCCTACTCAGAGTGCTTGGCCATATATTCAAAGACAGAGGAGTAAATGTCCTTTTGTATTTTAAGATAAAAAAAAGGACTAAATACAAACAAACAAATAAATGTCATGTGGCTTGTCTCTGGAAGAATAAATTAGGACTGTCTTTCAGAATCAGCTTCTAAAGGGTCTTCTGAGAACATCTGGATCAACCCTGCTGTTTTACAGATGAGGAGACCCAGCAAGACGCAGTGACTTGGTTAGGGTCACACGGCAAGCTAGGGGTGAGTGTGGAGATTTCCTGCCCACAGCTTGTGGTGGGGGCTGCAGACACCGCAATACAAATTCCCACTCTTGGGTGGAGGGCTGGGACTGGTTGGCGGTGGGTGGGGTAGGGGAGAGGTGATGGGTGTTAAAAGCTGCTAACAGCCAGGCAGGAAGTGGACAACAAACTAGGAAAGAGAGATGGGAGGAGAGCAACAGAGGCAAGGCTGTCCCTCCTGGGCAAGGTGCAGGTCCAGTGATTGGGGTGGGCTCTGAGTGTGAAGTCTCAAAGAAGGACAGGTTCTCATGGGGGAGGGGAGGAGGCAGCAACAGAAGCACTTGATTTTAGGCTTTCTGAGCCTCAGTTTCCTCATCTTTGAAATGGAGCTGATGAGGCCCATCTCATAGGGCAGGTGGAAGTCAGAATAAGAAGTGTCAAAGCACTTGGCATGCACTGCACCAGCCACATAGCAGGCCCTCAAAAAAGAGCAGTTTTCCTCCTTCCTGCCTTCCTTCCAGTCTGAGGATCCAGAGAAGAAAGAATCATCATCTGTTAAACAAAAGAACTGACCGTGGGCAGAGGCTGATTCACGTCACAGAATTTCAGATGTCAGAA